CCCTGTAGCCCCAGCTGTCTGGAACTCACTATGTAGACCAGGCTGCGCCACCACACCCGGTTTAGCTCCTGGATTTTTTTAAAACATGTGTCTTTGTCAGCGTCTGCCACATGAGGGGGTGCTCTCAGAAGCCCAGGAGCTAGAGTTACAGGCAACTGTGAGCAATCTAATGAGGGTGCTGGGATCTGAACCACTCAGGCATCTCTGTGGCTGGCTTGTTGGACAAACTATGTCACCATGACCTTTCAGGATCTTGGCCATGCTGGACTCCGAGTGTTCTAGGTGATACAGTGCCTCTGTTTTGGAGGTCCCTTCTGGCTTTAGGATGCCAGTTCAGGCCTGGCATCCTCTTCTGTCCAAGCATGTGCAGCGGTGGGAAGCAGAGAAAAGCCTCCCTCAAGCCATCCAGCAACACCACCCACCCACTAGCACTTTGCCTGGGCTCTCCTGGGAGGATGTTATGGTCTTAGAGAAAGATTTCCAGCCTACACAGTGTGTAAATGTAAACAAGTCCAGCTTGGATGGAGGTTTCATTTTTCACAACTGAAGCTGTCACCCTGGAAGATAGTGGACAGAGATTGTAGGCCACAGGAATGCCACCCGAGAGAAGTGGCTTTGCGCAAAGCACAGTACAAATTGGATTGTCTCAGCAACTTCCCTGGTGAGCAGAGGTGTCCCCTGATGTGTGCTCTGTTCATCCCACAGTCTCCCAAGAGCAACTCCCCAACAGGAGGTCTTTGCTCTGTAGGGAGCCTCCAGGGAGCTTGTTAATCTTGTTTCCTGGGGGTGAAAACAGATCTGCAGTTTCCCTAGGCATAAGCTGTAAGCCCCTTCCTTCCTTCCTTCCTTCCTTCCTTCCTTCCTTCCTTCCTTCCTTCCTTCCCTCCCTCCCCTCCCTCCTCCCTCCTTCCCTTCCTTCCTTCCCTCCCCTCTCTCCTTCCCTTCCTTCCTTCCCTCCTTCCTTCCTCCCTCCCTTCCTTCTTTCCCTCCCTCCCTCCTTTTTTCTTCTTCTTCCTCTTCTTCTATTCCCTTTTTTTGGTCTTTTTGAGACATGGTTTCCTTATAGCCCCAGCTGGCCTGGAACTCACTATGTAGACCAGGCTGACCTCCATCTCTGAGGGCATGAGCTACCATGCCCAGCCCCAGTTCTTTTTTTCCCTTCCCTTTCTAAATCCAAACTGGGCTGGGCTGGACTGGCAGAGCACTAGCCCCCTCCACTCAGCTGATTCACACCTGCTGTGTGGTAGGCCTCAGCACCCCTGGGGCTCCTTTTCCTATCCCCCCTTCTCAGTAAGTGGGGGAGGAAGTACTGAATCTAGGCCTCCTAGTGTGGCCCCTATCCCTTATTGAAACATGGGCTAGAATGACAGATCAAGTCCCTTAAAACCTAAGCCAAGGGGCTGGAGAGCTGGCTCAGAAGTTAAGAGCTGAGTTCAAGGGGCTCCCACGTTCTCTTCTAGTCTCTGCAGGCAATTGCTGCAAAGGTGTACTTAGATACATGTAAGCAAAACATTCACACACATATAATTTAAAAAAAAACAAAAAACAAAAACAGCTGGGCATGGTGGTATATACCTTTAATCCCAGCACTTGGGAGGCAGAGGCAGAGGCAGGTGGATCTCTTTAAGTTTGAAGTCAGTCTGGTCTACGTAGTGAGTTTCAGGCCAGCTGGGGCTACAGGGAGACCCTGTCTCAAAAGACAAATATATAAAATTTTTAAAAAAGGTAAGCCAGGGCTGGAGAGGTGGCTCAGTGGTTAAGAACACTGGCTGTTCTTGCAGAAGACCTGGGTTCAAATCCCAGCACCCACATGGCAGCTAACAACTGTCCTTGACTCCAGTTCCAGGGGATCCAACAGCCTCTTCTGTCCTCTGCGGACATTGCATGATACAGGTGCACTTACCTACATGCAGGCACATGCATACACATACAATAAAATAATAAATAAAATACTTTTTTAAAAAAAGGTAAGCCAAGTCATGCTCTGGTTTCTGGCTTTTTAGCTGTCTCAGATCCCACCGGAGTTTGCCCTTTGACCTCTGACCTCATCTGTCACCCATCCCAGCTCAACCCCTTTTTGAGACAGGCTCTCACTATGTAGCTCTGGCTGGCCTGGGAGTTTGTATGTAGATTTGGGTGGTCTGGAACTTACAGAGATCCACCTTCCCCTGCCTCCCAAGTGCTGGGATTAAGGACCATTATGCCTGCCCTCCCCCCACCTTTTTAATGGTCTTTTTGAGACAGGGTCTCCCTGTAGTCCCAGCTGGCCTGGAACTCACTATGTAGACCAGGCTGGCCTCAAACTCACAGAGATCTGCCTGACTCTGCCTCCCAAGTGCTGTGATCAAAGGCATGCACCACCACACTCACCTCCCCTTCTTAAAAACAAAAACACATTTTTTAAATCTGTGGGTATACACATGCCACAGCCACATTTGGAGGACAACCTGAGGGAGTCAGTTAGCTCCTTCCACTGTGTGGTCCCTGGGATTGACCTCAGGTCATCGGGTTGGGTCCCAGGCGCCTTTAGCCCTGAGCCATCTCACCGTCCCCTCCTCACCTTCTCAGGACAGGATACAAACAGATCAACTCTAGGGCCTCTGCTCTAGCTGTTCCCTCCACCTGCACAGCTTCCCCCTTACTTTTGTCTCGGTCTCTGGGATCCCAGCTCCCAAGCCCAAGTCCCTCCTACTCCCTTCTTGACCAACTGAATTCCCTGCACCGCGCTTGCGACAGCCTCACTACCATCTCCGGGTTATCTTCTCCCTTCTCCTTCTCCTAGAATGCCAAGTACCCCGCAGGGGGCAGGGGCCTCTGCAGTCTAGTACCAGCCGAATCCTCCGGGCTGGGGAAGGGGTGAGGGCTCACGTAGTAGTTCAGTAAACGGTTTAGCAAAGGTGAAAGCAGACACCCAACGCTGCGCCAGCGCGCGATGCAGGCCCTAGACAGCTCACCCGCCTGTGTGCATGTGCGCGGGTGTGTGTGTGTGTGTGTGTGTGTGTGCGTGTACTTATCTCCTGGCGGGTCCCTGGTGTGTGTGTGTACTTATCTCCTGGCGGGTCGCGGGAAGGAGTATCCCTCCCTTGCCCCGCTTGCCACAGATGCGCTATAAATGCGCTTTGGGGACCAGACTTACTGGCGGGGGCGGGGGCGAATGCCCCGCACCGTTGCGGGTGGGGGAAAGGGTCTGCGGCCGATGGGCACCCCTGAACCCCAGCATTAAGGCCTGGGTGGGAGACCGTCCGTCGCCTTTCCCAGTGGTTTCGCAGAGTCTCCTCCAATGCCGGGGATTTAGCGGTTGAGAGCGTGGAAGGGCAGGCTTCTGAGCGCCGCTCGGGGGGAGTGGGCAGGTCCCGGTTTCCTCGCCTCCTCCAGCCGGGAGACCAGGGTAGGGAATGTGGCTCTAAGATATGCTGGCAAGGCCTTGGCCTTCCCGGAACGCATTAGAGCTACAGCTCTGAGCTAGGATCGGAAACGCAGCCCCGCAGCGAGCTTAGGCCGGAGACCCAGGCGGAGATGGGGGCGGAGGAGGTCAGTGGCACCGAAAGGGACAAAGAGCTGCCCTGCCCGACCCCCCCACGTCAGAGTCCTATTGTTCATCCAATCTACGACTGCGCCGAACTCGGGTGCCCCCGGCGGGGGGGCGGGGAACGGGAGCTGCTGCCCGCACAGGGGGCATTTGTTCATTAAGGGTGAGAAAGGGAGGGCGGGGGACGCGGGCCCGGGAGGGGGCTCAGCTGCATTTCCGCGCGTCGCCTTTAAGGAAAGCCCTGCCCTACCTTTTCCCACCGTTCCCCGTCACCCCCCAGCCGTACCTGCATTTTAAAAGCGCCCTGTAGCCCTGGGATTGGCCAAGGCCGCGTCCTCCCGGCGCAGAAACTTGAACCGCGGGGAGGCCCAGCAGATGGACTGCACCATCTCCGCAGCCTCCCCCGCGCGCGCCCCGCCCTTCCCGCACACCCCCGTACTGGCCCAATCGGACGGGCCGGAGGGCGGGACCGCGGCTCCAACGCTCTTCTGGCAGGGCGCCGGCCGGCCGGCCGCACCGGGTTTGGGGATCTCGGGGGCCGGCTAAGCTTCCGCCCGCCCCATGCTTCCTCCCCCTCTTCGGAGGCGGGGTTCCGCCGCCTCGTCCCGCCCCCTCCCCGCCCGGGGTGGGCGTGGCGGCTGGGGCTCCCGGAGCTGGGCCGGGGGCGGGCCTCCGCCTGCTGCGCCCTAGCCCGGAGAGCCCCGCACCGCAGCCGCCTACGCAGCAGCCGTCCCGGTTCCCGAGCCTCCCAGCGAAGCCCCGGCGCGGGGAGCGCCGTCCCAGAGTGGGCGAGGGCGATGCCGCGGTGACGGCCCCGCCATGGCGCAGAGGCCGGCGGCGGCT